CAACTGAACGACTGGTAGACCAGTTGCTATGAGGCACACTGACCACCAAGGGGCAGACACTCAACACAGGAGCTGCCCCCTGGTGGTCAGTGCACTCCCACAACCAACCTCCCATGGTCCCTCCCTCTAGATGCCGACCGGCCTCCCGATTGGCCCCAATCACCATCCAGGCCAAGAGACCCCACCTGTGCATGAATTCGTGCACCAGGCTTCTAGTAGAAATAATATTTTGCAAACCATTTAAAGTTGAGAAAACCATTTATTGATGCTTATCAGTTAAATCTCTAGAATATGATGTATCATTAATCTCTGATTTTCCCCTAATTACAGTGGGAATAAATAGAGAGGTTAAAGACATAGTTTTTGCTATGAGATCTAAGATCCAAGTTTAGTTTGGGGGACAAAAAGAGGATTCAGCAAACCTACTAATTTAAATAAATTGTAACTTCAAAATTAATAGTAGAGAGTTTAACTGCTATTAGAAAGGAGAAAGTGGTGATCAGGAGTGGTGTAACAGAGTAGATTCCAATAGGGATGTAAAGATTTGGAAGAAGCAGAGGAATAGCCCAAGAAGAGAGTTGGCATTTGCAAGAGGGAAGGAACTTCAAAGATCTTTTATTCCAGCTCCTTCATTTTCCAGAAAATTAAATGGAATCTTGGAGAGGCTAATTGACCTGATCAAGATCACTATGCTAGCTGGGGACTCTTGACTTCTGTCTCTGTGTACCTTACTTTATGCTGTCTAGGAGGCAGAAACCAAAATGAAGAGAGATCATTTTAGGTAGTCTTCCATGTAGAAAAGTACAATTTTTATAACTAATGTTATGACTTACATAATTGGTAATAGCTGAATAGTTTAGTCTATATCACAACCACTGCCAACCCACACAGACACATACATACACTAACAATTATCTAAGAAATGTTAAAAATAATAAACACACAGAATAAAAATAATTTTCTTAAAAATTATTTTGCTACTATTAAATTTTTGAATCAATACTTCTTAGTAGGCACTGATTATTTTCTGATCTCATGTTTAAAATTCTACTTGAAAATTAAGTAAATAAGTATGAATCATTACTCTTTGATTGTTCCTACTGCACTCAACCTTCAGGTTGGCACTATTTCCAATGTTTTGTATTTATTCTTGGTATTTATTTCTCAGTGACATCACATGACACTTAGTTGATTTCAGTAGCCAGAAGAGGAGTGAGTCATTAGATGATTTAGATATTAAAATCCTTAAGAATTACTT